GTGTGTGTGTGTGTGTGTGTGTGTGTGTGTGTGTGTGTGTGTGTGTGTGGCTGTATAAACTTTATGACAAAGGTTGTATTATTGTATAAACCCAAACCATATGGTACGAAAAGGATGAAACAAATCCTAAAACAACTGCTTTGTCCTGATTTGACCAGCAGTAACATCTCATTTGTGATATTTTTTTTTTTTTTTTCACGCACCAATTTGCAGAGTCAGACTTCTATGAAGTCCTATTATTTAATGCCGTGTCTAATGCTAGCATGATGCATTTAGGGACCTTTTTATTGAAGAGGCTTCTGCCAAGGAGGACATACAGCAGCATCATTCTTTTTAGTGTGTTCAAATTGCATTTGTGTCAGCTTTAATCATTTGTGCAGCGCTCCAGAGCCAAGATAACCGTTCTACAACACACTCCCATTCTGCTGTAGTGAACATCTCGTTCATCACTGTGTCTCTGTCTCTCCTGTTTCTCTGCCAGCTGTTTGGGTCCTTGCTGCGAGGCTGCTGCGCTGACCTCTCCTACCTGAACCTCTCCAAGAACTCCTTCTCTCACAGGTGGGCGTTCACCTCGGGTGTAAATCCCCGTTAAGGTTTCTCTCCCCGTAAAGAAAGAACTTCGTTTTTCTTCCTTCTGACTCATGCAAGCGGCTCTGGAGGATTTCCAGTCAGGAGGAGCGGAGCATCCTCATTTATTTTCTGCTGTAGATTAGTGTTTAGCCCTAGACCTCACTGATGTAATTAGCGTGCACGCTCGGCTCGCCCCCTTAATTTGTTCTGGCTCGCAGCATATATATATATATATTTTTTGTGTGTGTGTGTGTGTGTGTGCGCAGAATGTGTTCCCGTCTGTCTTTAATGTACACATGTCTCTGTTTGCTAACAAGTTTTCCATCTGTCAAGCACTTGTTTGTGTGCCCACAAGTCTTTTTTTTGTGTGTGTGTGTGTGTGTACCGCGCTAGCGGGCAGAAGTGGCTCCGGCTCTCATCATGTCGTGTCCCCCAGGAGCCCAGGAGCTCCCCTGCTCAGCATATTGCATTACAGAATTACTGAGGAAGAAGTTGGTGAAAAATGAGGCTAATTTTAGAAGGGAATCATTGTTCCAGTCCCCAGGCTGCATCTCTCTCTCTCTCTCTCTCTCTTTGTCACTCGGCCCGTTTCTTTGTATCTGCTGCATCTCCCAATCCATCTTTTACTTTTTGCATCTGTCTGGCTGCACCTCTTGTTCTCCTCTCCACCGGTCTCCATTCATTCTTTATTTTTTATGATGGGAGCTCTTGCTGGAGCTCTTGACCACACGGCTCTCTCATGATTAAGAGGAAGATTGAATTTCCCAGCATTCCACACTCCTTTTACTGGACACATCCTCGCTCCATCTATCTTCTCTGTCTGGTTTTTATCTCTCCCTTTTCCATGGCTGTTTTCTCCTCTCTTATCCCTCGCTTCTTGCTTACTGCCTCCCTCACTCAATCATCTTGTTTACTTCCTTTTCTCCCCCTCTTTCCTTCCTCCTCTCTCTCCGCTTATATTCCTTTCTCCTCTTCCTCTCTCCTTATCACTCCTCCTCCCTCTTCACATCCTCCAACTTTCATCCCCTTTCTCCTCACATCCTCCCTCCTCTTCCCTTCTGCCTCCCTCCCTCCACAGTTCATCCCACCTCTTGCCGGCCGTGGGTCTTCTGCTATTAAATACTCTCCGGCTCAGTGCTGCGGGCAGAAGGCCGCCGTGTTGTGGTGACAACACAGAGCCACGGAGCTGAACCGGGCTGATAAGAACCGCCCGGCTGCTGCTCATGAATATGGAACGGGCTGCCTCAGACCCCTCCTTCACCCATCTCACACACACACACACAGAAGTAGCGCTTTCGAGCAGTTCATGTAGATCCAGCTACACACGTACACGTGTGGTAACAAATTGCTGATGCAGCTCCATGGAGAGCGTTTAGTGCGACAGACAGTGACACCATCTACTTATGCGACAGAGGCCTTTTCTGTATCAGCGGCGTCCTGACAGGCTGGTATGCTAATCGTTACACATGGGTCAAAGAGGAGCTGGCGTTCCACGCACTGGGAGGTTATCAAAATATCAATGACGGCAGCTTGTAATGCAGCTGCCGGGTTTCCCCCTCACTACTTTCTTAATGTCTTCATCTTGCTTCTTTTTTTGTGCCTCCTACCATTGCTCACTCCCTTATGACCTTTTCCATTTTCTACCCTTCATAACTTGATTTTCTCCTGCTTTTTTTTTTTTTTTTCCTCGTCTCTGAGTCCCATTTTCTTTTATTCCTTTTCCTCTCGTTGCATTCCGTTTTATCTTTAAACCAAGCTAACGTGGTTTTGTCGGAGCATTATGAGAGACGTCATCGGGGCTGGTGTTATTGTCGATAGTCTCTTTAACAGTGCAATCATAACAGTCCGTGTACAGCGGTGGTTTTGTTGCACAAGGACAATGAGGGCTTCCGCTCACAGGTGCAATATGCACAAAGCAATGTGGTGAAGCGGAACAGAAACTGGTGGGGTGTAGTGATTTCTTTTCATTGTATTCTCAGCCAGTCACATTACTGCTCTCATACCAATTAAACAGCTGCTCCAAACACATGGGCACGCAAGAAAGTTGGCTCGGTAATCAGAGAGGAGACGGCGGAGCAGCTCTTCAGTTGTGATGTCCTAGAGGTTCAGACATGACACAAATCTGCTGCTGACGACAGGTGATGTGGTGTTTTACACTGAACGGAGGTGTTGGAAGTCAGGCCATGATGTGGTCTTTTATTCTGAAGGCAACTCTCTGTGGATGTAACCTATAATAAATAAGATTAAATGATGATGATGAATACAAAAGGGCACATTTTCTGAGAAAGAATTTTGTGTCACAACTGGAAAAAATGTGCAGTTGAATCATTTGATATTTAAGTATCGTAAGTCGGGTCTTGAGTCATGGTGCGTATTTGTACGGGAGCAAGATGAAGCAGCTGAAGTGTCAGTTAAAGGAGGCACTGGTTGATGTACCACGAAGCGAGTTTAACACACCCAGGGTTTCTTTTGGCCGTCTGGCTTAAATTCTACTATCAGCAGAGCGGCATATTTTACAAACAAAGGGAAAACTATAATGTTAAGACAAATATGAAGAAGTTAAACCCTTAATCAAGTCTAAAAGTAACAGTTTAAACTGCCAAATGCAGGAAGGAGCTGCCAAGAGAAGCGCAGACTGTGTGAATGAGTAAATTAAGAGATTTATATCGCTGCCCATCGAGAGCTGGAGTAGAGCCGACTATAATCACATAAGTTAATGTGTTGCTTAGATGTATTCTTCTAGAATAGAAGATACTTTATTCATCCCCTTGTGGAAATAGTCAACACACTCAAATGAAGCTCATAGTTAGGAGCTTATTTGAAGTGTCAGCAGGATTTAGAGGAGTAAAGGTCACTATCTCTGTGCTGTAACATACTATACCAATCATCCTCGCATACATACAGAAATAGACTCCACAAACAGTGAGCTCATTTATCTCGCCCCACTAGCGGCGTTGCTTTAGCGTAATGTCTGTTTGTTGCTCCAGACTCAACAACTATTTGATAGATTGTCGTGGGACTTTGCTGAATATTGTCACTTTTCAGTTTCAACTTTGTCCAATACTTTTTATGACAAACTACCTGCAAAACTTAACAGCATTCCCATCAGCTGCTGTTGTACTTTGTTTATTGTTATTTTACAACTGTTGAGATGCTAACATGCTAGATAAAGAAAGGGAACATATGGCGAACATTACACCTGCTAGAAGTCCGTATCCCCCATTGTCGTCGTGAGCGTGTAGCTCAAAGCGCCGTGGAGCCGCCGGCGTGGCGTTTCTTTTCTTAATTACTCCATTACTCTATGATGCGTGGCTTTGTTTCTGAAAGAGAACGAGCAACGATCAACCATCTGGTGTGAATTGGTTCTGTGGCAGAAGAAAATGAGTTTGTTCAAAGTAAAGAAAACACGTTTTTTTTTCCCGCGTTTGCAGACATTTCGACACGTCGTGGCAGGAAAACGCACAGCTGTAGCTCATAACGACCGCGTTCCATTTCTAGAGCGGAGCCCTCATTAGCGGAGTTAGTTACACCTGTGCTTTTCCTGCCTCCATCAGGCAAACTGTCAGCCGCGGGAAAAAAGGTCGACATGAAACGCCGTAGAATAATTGTACATAAGTGGTTCTCTGTCTTCTTTTGCCGCTCTTAGATTTTCTGAAGAAAGTCACTTTTGCGTCGTATATGAATAACTAAAATGAGTCGTATTAAACATTCTATTCAAAGTGCCTCGTCTCAAACGACCGTACTTGTTGTTTATCGGGATGATGGTGGGAAACAAAACAATAAAATGCTTTCTGTGCCGCACAAGTAAACAACACATCAGCTGAGGAGAGGTAGCGGGTAATCTTTTCTTGAAAAACAAACCTCATTTCTCTGAAAGAAGAATTCATCCATCGCCCCCACACCTCCTCCCTCCCTCCCTTTCTCCCGCCGTCTCCCTCATCCTCCCCTGTGGTGAATTATTTGCGCCGCGAGGGGCTGAAATGGCAGATTGGCTGCTTTGACAAGTTCTAAACGCAGATCGTAAACCAGTGTACTAACCCCGAGAATGCAGACGACCGGCCTCCTCATGTATCGCTGCTCTCGGAGGGATGTTGTACACACACACACACGCACTGTGTCCTTCCCCTCTGATGAAAGGCTAATGCGCTGTATATGCCGAGCAGATGGTTGAATAATTGGTCAGCGTTACCTTTTTAAACTGTTGGCAGTTAATTAATGCCAACTTCACCTTTTCAGTGTCTGCTTGATATAATACTGACCTAAATGTCACCTGCCGGCATCTGTCTACTCTCCCCTTCTTCCCCTCCCTTTTTTCTCTCGCTCTTTTGACAGCTCTCTTCTCATCTGCCGCAAAATCTCTGTCACTTTCTGTCAGCGTTTCAGCTCCCTCTGTCATCCGCCGCCTTGTCTCGGTCGGTGTCCTTATCGGCTCCCATCATCTGTTCACCTCCTTTCCCTTTCTGTCCGTCCAACTGCCTCATTGATCGCGCTCCATCTTTTATGTCCCGCTCTTCCCTTCCACTCCTACACACTTTCCAAATCCTATCTTTTGTTTCTGTCCTCTGTTCTTTTCCAGGAAAGCAAGAGATTCTCTGCCAACTTTCCGCCAGTTCTTCAGCTCCGCATTCAGCCTGACCCACGTCAGCCTGGCCTCCGTGAAAGTCCCTCCTGATTCACTGAGGTGAGTTACTGCGCTCCTCTTATTTCTTTATTTACGTGCCTTCTCGTCTCCGCCCTACTAAATAATACCCTGACATAAATCTCAGCGGGCCATCTTGAAGAATGTCTCAATTCCTAAAAATGCTTCTCGAGGAGATGCTGCCTCGACCCCTCTCTCCTCGTCTCTCTCCTTCCTTGCCTCCTTCACCGAACCTCAGGTCGGAGGGACTAAGACGCGAGGAGGCGAGGATTTAGAGGGACCTTTGAAAGATGCTGTGTATGATGCAAATCAACTGCAAACAGACGATAAGGGAGCATCTGTACATCTTACAGTAACCTCCGTTCAGTTTGACCCCTTTTGCATTTGTCGTCCTGTATATGAATAATTATAATTTCATACAGCAAATAAAAGAATACAATTCATATGCAAATGCACCCAAAATGTGTTAAAGATGTTATCCCCCAAACAACCTTGGGAGGTAACAACAGATGCATATGGCCATGCTACTTACAAAATCCATCTCTTGGAGATATGAATAAATAAATGCAAAATGAACAAATCAATCCGAGAAGCGCATCAAAACAAACCTTCGAGAAGGTTTTTTTTAAAGGCCAGTTTGGTTAGAGGAAGTGACCTGTGAACAGTAAATTAGAAAAAAAAAAAAAAAATGTAATTCAGTGCCAGGTGCAATTGTCACGAAGGTACCAAAGCCCCATCTCAACCCAGAAGCATGTTCAGTCCACATCCAAAGGGAGTCAAGGGATATATCCAAGTGTAAAGAATCCAGCATTGGATGTGACGTTCCTGGTGTGGTCGTGTCATGAATATTCCACTGATGGTGATCAGCCTTGACTAGTGTGTCACCCTCTGTGACAGCCTATTGGCAAACTGTGGTTTTCTTTATTCAGAGAACCACTGGACAGAATGAACACGCTGAGCTGGCAAAGTATGCTGCGATAAAAGCCAAGTGGATGCACCGAGACACACGTCAGACTATATTAAGCTGATGTATTGTGAGAAAGACGACTAAAGTCACTATTGTGGAAGCGAAAACAAAGTATGTCGCTGTGTGATACGTTAAATGAATAGGAAGTGACGGATGAAGTCAGATACAGATCTTACTAGATGCTGTCTAAGGCTATATTTAGGTATTATGAGAATGTTGGAAACAAATATGTTGCTCACAAAAAAACATTTTATTGAATAGTAACAAAACATCTTTCATCATTTCTATCATGAATTTGTCACGCATGTAGGAGTAAATGAAATGTAATAAGCCCATTAATAAATGAAATGCTGTATGTGAGCCAATGTGGAGGCGTAGGAGACGTGTTGCTTCTCAGGTTATAGCTGCGCGCTCACATAAATGTGGAGATGTGTTCAGCCATGAAGAAGGTTCATGATATAAGTAGTTTGTATGGCGACTCATGTAGCCCATTATTTCTAACCGCTCAGCTCTTAGAGTGCGTTCCCGGCTGTTGTTAACTGATGCCACCTCTCTGTGTCAACGAGCATTTGTGCTGCTGACGATATTTAGTCAAAACTTGAATATGGCGAGGAATAAACTGTGGCCACTCGTGCTAAAAATATGCCCACTCGTGATGCTGTGAGGCGCTTTAGTTTAAAGCACTGTCTAAATCACACCCAGCTAGGATCACTGCTGAAGCCCTTTTCCATTTTATATCCAAACCTTTTGCAAACAGTTAAAGAAGAGACTCTTAAAATAAAAGATTTTTTTATTGTGTCAGGCTTGAACACTAAAATAGCTCGTACCATACGGAGTGCAGTTTGCATCCAAACCGTCGGTGAGATTCAATCGTCAAGGCTTCAAGCGTTTGTCCTCGGCGGTGGACGGTTATGCTGGTCGACTGGCCTTCAATAAGAGGACACAGATTGAAGCCCCCGTATTGGCTGGCGTCCACCCCGCTGACGCGTCTTTGTGCAGGACTCTGTATCCCGACCAGCTTCGGGAGATCTGACTGTAGCTAAACCAGGCTGAAAGAGCCAAACAAAAAGCGTGTTTCCCTCAGAGAATAGACGGAGTGCTGCTACATTACAGTCTCTCTGTTAGGTGCGTAGCCCGCTGTTAGCTGCTCCTAGCCAAGAAACACAATCAATAGCGGCGTAAACAAAGCAAACTGCCAACAACAAATAGAGATGATTGCACGCCGTATGATGGATCTCAGCCAAACTGGACGGAGCAGACTCCCCACTTGGCACTCCTCCTCATTACCTCCTCATGGTGCATAACTCTTAAATGTGTATTCGTTGCACGAGATCAACCTCCAGCCGAGCCTTGATGTGCAAATAGAGTCTTCCTTTTGTTTCCAGCTGGGCTGCGTGCATGAGCAACAATTGGCCACTTCCCCAGAATAATATTGAAGATTTAGTTTTTGTTGTTGTTTTTTTGAGCTACTCTTCTGTAAGTCCTTTGAAGATGGCTCTAAAACTTTTAGGTGTGCAGAGGAGAACGCGGTGCAGGATGGGGGGGGCGGAGGATCTGCTCAGGCTGCTAGAGGGAGGAAAAGAAGCAATTGGATTTATGTGGGATTGATCTTTTTCTCTGTCATTTTCGCCTTGCCTCTTTCCATTAATTGCCCTTTGTTTCTCCTCCTTTTCTTCTTATCCACCTATCTTTCTGCTCTCTCCACTCTCTCCTTATCTGATTTTCTCTTAATCGCTCCGTCTCTCTCTCTCCCTTCCCATCCTACCCTGCCTGTGTTTTCCTTCAGGGCTCTGTTCCTAGGTCTGTCCAATAACCCTCATATCTCTGATTTACACCTGGACATCAGCAGCTGTGAGGTATGCTCTGTTAGTCTGTGCTGTAAGTGCACTCGCTCATCTTCGTCATAGATAGGCGCTCGTGGCTATCCCGTCACGTCTCACTCCTCTCCGTCTTCCTCCCACAGTTGAGGTCAGCTGGCGCCGGGGTGATTCAGGAGCTGTTTCCTCGAGTTTCATGCGTGGGGACTTTAGACATCTCTGATAACGGTGAGACACACACACACACACACACACACACACACACACACACACACACACA